TCAGTAAACAATGGAATGACATTAACAATTTCATATCACTTTTCAGCTTGTGTTGGAAATGCTAAATCGCTTAGCATATGAAACAGTTGCTCAGATTGTAGATCTTGCTCTTCTAGTGAAGAGAGATGCTATGGGCCGTAATTCTGACCTCTCCCGCTTCCGCACACCTACTGTTCTCAACCCTGACTATCCATGTGTGTTTATTCATCAGGTATAGTGATATTCACACTTACATTTGGGTATGTTGTAATAGCTCATAGACATTGACTATTCATATGGTGCATGTTTGAAAATATGCAGGAATTATATAAATCAAATTGGCAAAATAGTGCTGTGTATTTTCTTTTATTTAAGATAAGTTTTAGAAGCAAGTGGTTACTTTTATGCTGATATTTTTAGTTTAAAGGTAAACTATTGTAAAAGCATACTTATGTACTTTGAAAACAAACAATTTTTAAAAGAAATTTGGAGGATGAATATTGACAGTGGTCAGTGTGTGGTAAATATGTACAACTACATACAGTATATAATTATTTAATAAAAGTACATTTAAGGACCCCTTTGTTTGTTTATTTTTGTTTATTTAAGTAGTTTATAAATATACATATGTATTGTTCTTTATTTAGAGCTAGGATTGGAGAAGGCTGTTGTTTTATATTTTGTTTAGGCGAAACAAACTAAATTCCCAGCACAGTATACACCCATCCAAGAGAAGTTCCACATGCTGCAAAATCTACCTTCCAATGTTAATGCTTATCCCTACTCCAAAAGAGTGGCTCACTGCAGGAGGTAGGATCTGGTGAAGACCACAGTATAGGGATGGACCCCATAACACCTGCAGAGGTGAGGGAAGCAGTCCGAAGGTATTGGGCCAACAACTCCCCACTTTCTCCATTCTCGAAGACAAGATCACCAATTGAGACAAGGCTCCTGGCTGCTTAGAGGTATGGTGTCTTTTTATTCATAGCAATTATCTTGTGTATACATTGTCACAATATGTAATATATTTTGATGTAATGATGTCATGTTCCTTGTAGAAAATTCAGGTTAGGCACAGTGTTATCTTTTATAGTCATGGAAAATGGGTGCATGTATCTTATATAATATGTTGTGTGTCATACTGGACAAAATTTTAAACTGCTTGTAGACAGGTTTCTTGTTTTCATTGCCATTTTAGGATTCTAAATTGAAAAACTAGTTGCCAAAAGCTTTTTCAAATACTAAGGCATTATCTGGCATCTAAGAGTTCCCCAGTTACTTAGCTCCATGCAAGAAGACACAGACATTAGTCACAGGTGTTTTCATATTAGACACATGTATGAACAGAGACAACAGGCATTTCTGTAATTATAGCATAGGCAGAGAAGAAATGGTAAAATATATATATAGATAGATAGACATACAGATTAATGCTGTGTTCAGAACTCCTTGTCTTGCTCGTCCAGACAAGCTGTCCAGGACCAGCAGGAAAGTGGCCGCGTTCGGAACCTCCAAGACCTTTTCTGCTCAGAATGCAACAGGCTCGAATGTAAACACTGACGTTTTTATTATACCAGTGTCTTTATTTTACACACTGCATAGATTTTGTAACTCCTTTGATGCATATTCAACTTATTTATTTAACTGACAAACACAAAAATATCCTTTGATAACACCAATAAAGGGTCATAAAATTACCCACCAATATCTTGTGGTTACCTGCAACTGTCAATGTTTACATACAATATCTATTGTTACATCATCTCGTCTGGCTCACCCAGGTTTGCAGGAGGGCGAGTTGGACGACCTAGACTAATTGTCCGGGGCGAGATAGTAGAGGTTCCGAACGGTCAAAACATCTCGTCCAACTGGTCTGGAGGAGCAGGACGAGCAGTTCTGAACACAGCAAGAGATATATGCATTTTCTTTCTTACAGTATCTTACAGAGAGGCAGAAAATAAAAGCCAGAACCCAGGCTGATAGTATCAGTGTGAGGAATAAGGGGTCTCCTTGGATACATAACACTTACATATTGCTAAAAAATGAGCTCATTACAAATGTAGGTATTCACTACAACAAATCTGTGGAAAAGGGAACACATAATCTTTGGAAAGTCAATCTCTGCCCTTTGTATCTGCTTAGCTGGTGGTAGTATCCCATGCCCTTGTTCCTTTAGTTGTACAGCATCCAATCACAGGGACCTTGGCTTGCCACTTACTAATTTAGGTTATCATTGGCTCACTCTCACTGTTGGTGCATGTATGCCTTAGATAAATTTGATACATGGTGTATTGGTGTTATTAGTAAATTACATGATAGATGAAAATAACTAATATCAAACTGGTCTTTCCAGGAGATATCAGGCACCCAGAAGACTTGTCATCTGTGTAATAATTTATTAACTATGTAAAATGTTTTAGGTTACAAATAAATTTAAGTTACACTGTGGTACCTGCATTTTGGCATTAGCATTTGGATATTGTTTTCATAGTTACATGAAATACAAATAAAACATTTAATTTTGCTCAAAGCTTAGCATGATATAGACCATGAACCTAGCCTCCACATACATATATAGTTTTTAGTAGCATTCACTTAACCATAAATCAAAGTGTTGTCAACAGTTGTCTTATTGTTTTTTCTGACTAAAGAAACAATAAATATTTACTTTCTGCAATCTCAATTGTCTGGCTTGACCATACTGTTATTTACTAAACCTAGGGGAGACATTGTATCTGGGTTGCCACATAATGGTTCAGCTAAAATTTCAGGGTTGCTTTCTGCATGTGGTCTGATATATAATTGAGCAACAGGCAAGTGCAAGTGCATAAAAGATTGATTAAATCTGAATGTAAAGTTTTTTTTGTTTTTTTTGTAAAAAAAGTTTTTTATTAGGTTTAGGAAACTAGATTTATTTTAACATTGTTCATTGTAATGATTTAATAAAAATTATTTTGGAAAAATATGTTTTATTATTCTCTCTGAACAAGGTTTCTCTACAGAAAATTTAGTAGATCTACTCCTTTTTCAGTTCACCAAAACACTGCTGCTGGGATCTCTCTTTGCTGTGGCATATCTGGAAATGAAAATGAATATGACATTTAAGAAACAAAATTGATATTATGGTATAGAATGTAAACAAATTTTGGGTCATATTACTAAAGTACTCTTGTATATGCTTCAGAGAAATTAACAATATATATAAAATATGAAGAAAATCAACACACTATGACCACAAAATAAAAAGTGAAAAGCGTAGTTGTAAGTCAAAGTAGTAAGTAAGTAAATAAGTAATAATGACAAGAAAATAAATGTCTAGACATCAAAGGTCATATAGCACTATGGTATTGTATTGTGTTGGGAGATTTTTAAAGTCTTTATTACAATTAAAATGTTAAGTTTCAACAGTCATTTATTGTATGATAATATAGTAATTTAAGGAGTAGGAGGAGATGGTAGATGGGAGTAGGATAGGTATTGATGAGAAGAGGAAGGGTTAAGGACGATGGGTGATTAGATCAAATGAAAGATATTTATGCGTCTGAGGAAGGAGAATAAATTATCACTAAAAAGGTGGGAGATTCTGTAAAGATGTCTGACAGGTTGGGGGGTCGGGAAGATGGGATATGTGAGGAAAAGTAAGGATACAGGCTTCGGTAAAGCGAGGACAGGATATTAGGATATGTGCGACAGAGAGAAGACATTGCATGTAGGGCATAGAGGTAGTTAGAGGGATGTGACATGAGGTATGAGTGAGTGATTCTGGTGTGTCCTATTCATAGGCGCAAGGGCAGTTTCCCAATGTCTTTTTGATGATATGGAGCTGACCAAGGGGAGATTGAGGGTTTTATGGTTTGAGTTTGTTGGTGCACAGACCTGACCAGAAGGATTGCCATCGGTTGTAAAGAAAAGTTTTGAAGTGAGGGTAGTAGTCGGTGGCCGGATGTGTGAAAAACGGGTTGGTGCTTTTCGTTGCCGGGAATCCTACATGGCTGGGTATCCAGCAAAAATTCACTGTTTTCTGTAGTGTAGACAGATAGAATAGCTGGTCGTGTATTTTATGGGCTATAGGGTTGGTAGGGTGTATGGATTGTATGAATGATATTGAGTTACGTGAGTCAGTGAAGATGGTGAAGGATGAGGAAGAGATGGAAGATATGCATTGTAGAGCAAAGAGGATAGCATATAGTTCTGTTGTAAGGACGCTTGATTCAGGTGAAGAGGAAAGCTGTATGTGAGAGGGAAAGACTACGGCAAAACCAGCACCTGAGTTGGATTTAGACCCGTCAGTATAGATATGAGTGCTAGAGGAGTGACTAGAGATATGAGCAAGGAAATGTGTGAGAAGGATAGAAGGTGGAATGTTTGACTTTGGTAGATCAGGGAAAATAGAGGAGCAATTACAAGAGACTGGTACTAGCCAGGGAGGGAAAGTTTGGGTAGAAAGAGGAAGAATTCGGAGATGAGGAAAGGATGAATGGGAGAGAAGAGCGTCCATACGAACAGGGAAAGGGACAGGTAGTCGTGGAGAGGAAGATAGATGCGAAGAAGAGGTTGAGGGACAGTTAGTTTGGAGAGTGAAAATTGGTGGAAGCGAGCATAGTTTCTTAGGGACAGAAGAGCGCGGCATCTAGAGAGGGATGGTAGTCCTGATTCAACGTATAGGCTCTCAACTGGAGAGGATCGGAAAGCTCCTAGGGTGGATAGGATCAAGGAGAGAGAGAAGAGAGGCAGAGGCAGAAGAAATATATGGCAACTATAGTCAAGGGTGGAGAGGATTAGAGTAATATGGAGATGAAGGAGTGTTTTGCGGTCTGATCCCCAGGATAGGTGGGAGAGGGTTTGTAGTAGTCGGAGGCGATGGCGAGCTTTTTCTTTAATAGAAAGGATATGATCCCGCCAAGATAACTTGGAGTCGAAAATAACTCCAAGAAACTTGCCGGAAGATCGGATTGGATGGGGGTATCATAAAGGAGGAGTGGAGGTTGGGAGCCTATACGTGAACGAGAGAAAAGGATGGAGAAGGTTTTAGAGGTAGAGAAACGAAAGCCATGGTTGGTAGCCCAGGAAGAGATTGATGTTATTGACGACTGGATAAGTTGATGGAGAACTTTTATGGAACGGTCAGAGGCGAAGATGGCTAGATCATCTACATAGAGTGATAAACGGATTTTTGGTGGTAAAGCGGATATCAATCCGTTTACAGCTATGAGGAACAGTGTGGAGCTCAGTACACTGCCTTGTGGGACACCTTCAAACTGAGGAAAGGGGGAAGTGGAAGAGGCAAATCTGACACGGAAGGTGCGGTCAGGAAGAAGGATTTTATAAAAACACCCATGTTTCCACGTATTCCGTGGAAACAACTGTTGCAGTATATGGTGCCGCCAGTAGTATCATATGCTTTTTCGAGATCGAAAAAGACAGCTAATACTGACTCACGGCGTGCAAATGCTGAAGTGATTAGTGTTTCTGCATAGGCTAGTGGGTTAGCTTATTTGCCTCGACCGAAATGAATTGTTTGGTGATATTACTTGGTGGTATTCTAGGTACCACATCAATCTGAAATTTATCATTCGTTCCATTAATTACATAGGCAGCTTGTTAGGGCTATGGGGCGGTAGTCTTGGGGAAGAGTACCTGTTTTGTTAGGTTTCAGGAAAGGTAATACTATGGCTTCTCTCCAGTGGGGAGGAAAGTTTCCAGTCGTCCATATGTTATTGAATATTGAAAGAAGGAAGGATAAGGAAGTAGGAGAAAGGTGTCTTAGCAAGTGCATTATAGATCTCAGAAGAAGAAAAGGGTGCATTATAAAGTTCTGTAGATGATAGGGAGAAGGAGATAGGAGTGCACTCTTTGTCTGATTTTAAGGAAGAGAAATGAGGAGAAAGATGAGAGCCACTACTGACTTGGCTAAAAAAGGCACCAAGTTAAGTAGCTACTTGAAGAGGGTCAGAGATGAGGGA